GAGCGGTTGCTTCACTCCTGGCACAGGCCCTGGGCAAGGTGGCACCCAGGAAGGGTCTCATGACATTTTGGGGTGCCACAGGACCTTGGTTGAGAATCACTGGACCAAAGTAAAAGTGCCTGAGCTCTGCTGCTTCCTGCAGGCCCAGTGTCTGCCTGCTGAAGAATCACTACTACACGGCGCAGTGAGCTACAGGCTTTGAAGAGCTCCCTAAGCAAAGCAAAACTCTTTCCTTTTTAATGTCAGTAACTCTACTTAGGTGCTCATTCAGATAATGTCATGGACTTGAAATGAGCATTTCCCTACCACTCACTCTCCTCAGGGCCCCACGCACATCCTTGTTCCTCAGGCTGTAGATCAGGGGGTTCAACATGGGTGTCACTGCCCCGTAGAAGACAGAAACCAGCTTGTCCTGGTCAGAGGCAGACTTGGTCTGTGGGCGAATGGACATGGACATGGCCGTGCCATAAAATATACTGACCACAACCAGGTGGGATCCACAGGTGGAGACAGCTTTGCTCCTGCCCTGGGCCGAGTGGATACGCAGCACAGCCATGCCAACGCGCACATATGTCACCAGGATGAAGATGAAGGGTACGAGAAGCGTCAAGACCGAACTGCCAAACATAACGATGCGGGTGATGTGGGTGTCAGAGCAGGCCAGCTTCAGTATGGCCAGAGCTTCACAGGTGAAGTGGTTGATGATGTTGGTGCCACAAAACTGAAGTGGGAAAGCAAAGGTGACGATCGCTGTCAGGAAGAAAGCACTGGCCCACACACCAACTGCCATCTGCATACAGACCTTCCCACTCATTACGATGGGGTAGCGCAGGGGGTTGCAGATGGCCACAAAGCGGTCGTAGGCCATGACAGCCAGCAGGAGACACTCTGTCACTCCCAAGTAAAGTGAGACTGTCATTTGGGTGTAGCAGTTAGCAAAGGTGATTGTGGGTCTCTTTTTAAAGCAGTTGGCCAATGCCTGGGGCACAGAGGTAGCTGTGTAGCAGAGGTCAAGGAAGGAGAGATTGCTGAGGAAGAAGTACATGGGGGTGTGGAGCTGTGAGTCAGTCCAGATGAGCACTATGATTAAGCCATTCCCCAGCAGGGTGAGCAGGTAGGTCACCAAGAGAAGTGCAAAGAAGGCCACCTGTGCCTGGGGATGATTGGAGAGTCCCACCAGGATGAACTCCATCAATACTGTCTCATTGGCTGTCCCCATGGCCTACTGGGTGCTTCACCTGTAGGGAAGGACACACAGAAACCTTAATGGGCAGAGGTGTCAGTCCCCATGAGACCACCTTAAGGAGGTGGCCAGATTTCAGAAACAAATGTGTGTACCACGCCACCAACAGCTGGCACCAAGCATGGTCATTTTTGAGTTAATAGTCAAATACTGTAATTTTGTTTTGCAAAAAGTGTTTGTTCCTTCACAGAACTACTATGTTTTATATTGAAAGAAAGAAATCCCAGAAAGTAATTTAAAAAATAATTGTTTGGTATTGCTATGGTGGTGCCTCTTGGGAGTCTTCACTTGCTCCTCATGTCCTGATTCTCTTCTGTCGACCAGGTTCTAGAGGCTAAAGTCTCCATGGTTCTCCACAGAAGCATTTTTTAAAGAAAAGCTTTTATTGTTGTACTGAAAAACCACTGATGTTAAGCTTTTTCACCAGTTTTTCACTTTTGTTTTCTGTGGGAAGTTCCAATGAAAACTTTTTTCCCCTCAAGTATTTTCCTTGTGTACCAAGAGTACAAGTTGGAAATGGGGAAATGAATAAATCAAGTACTTGGTAAGTGTTTAAAGCTGTTCTCAAAACATCATGCTTTATTTTTCTGGATCCCTTAGGAATAAATTCACAACTGCAACTCAGTGGCACAAGTTAAGGTGGGTGAGCAGGGGACTAGCCTTGGGCATCAATTTAGAGGTGAGTTGTTTAGATGACAATGTGCTGTGGCAATAGCTCATGTGCCATAAGACTCTCTGGTGGTTATCATTCTCCTGCCCTTTTTGGCTGTTTATAAATGTTACATTTTTCTAGGTTTAATCTCGACTACTGTCACTATATACATGTGGACATCTGTAGTCTGAATTAAAATTGGCTCCATTCCAAATTAACTTATCCTCATTGAATGAAGATTAAAGTTAATGCAGACTAAAGCAGCCTGACCTAGGCAATTTAAACTGCATTAATTAACATGTATGTACCCTGTTGCTTTTAGGAAAAACTGTCCTTAGGAATACAGATAAGCTTGCAAATTGGGTTTTTGCAAGAAAACAGAGGCTATAAGGAACAAATAAACACCTTTACAACGTCAAATGTGCCAACAGCACCTCACTATCAGTATCCTGACTAAGCCCCCAGCCCTGCCCAAGCACATGGGCTGCTGGTCTGTGAAGAAGGGGACAAACCCCCTTGATCATCTAATAATCCTTAATCAAATTGAAATTTGATTCAAACTGTGTGATGTGAATCAGTTCACACAGTTTAGAAAATAGTGAGCATGTCTACAAATGGGCTTTAATGCTGTGTCCAGCATCCCTGCCCATGGTGGCAAAATTCCCAGTTATGCCTTTGGTGAAACTGCATTTCTTTTCTATAAAGCTGGATAAAGAAATGGGGGGGAGGGGAATCCTTGTATAGCTTATCTAATAGCTGGTGGGGAAAATAACTAATATATTTTTCATATACAGTGGGCATGCATGTATTAAAACCTGATGTAATCAATCCTCATTAAATGCACGAAGTACGATAAATGCTGTGATGTTAGTGGCCCCCAAAACAGTCAGATTCCCTCATTTTTAAGCCTTCAATTTACTTTGGGACGGCTATTAGAAGCCTTGAAGATAATTAGAACTAGTGAGTTTAGTGGCTGCCATACTGATATCACTGGGCATGTCTACATGAGAGACAACAGCGCAGTAGCAATGAGCACTGCACAGTAGCTCATTGCTATGGCACCATCACATTGCTGGGCATGAACCTTGATGGCAACGCTACTGCCATCAAATGCAGTAGCATCTAAAAATAACCATGCGGTGATGGTGTTGTGCAGTCATTTAGTACTTGGTTAAGCAATAGGGCTGTGCAAAGCTTCAGGTGCTGATTTGATTCAGAGGAGATCCGGCCTGATTCAGATTTGGAGATTCGGCCAGCGAATCGAATCAGGGGACCAATAAAAAGATCCGAATCTATTCAAAGCTCTCTGAATCTTCGGAAAAGATTTGGAGAGCTTCGATGATTTGGGCAGTCCCTGCTGGATGCAGCAAGGAGCTGCAGCAGGATTCGGAGCTGGTAAGTAGGGAAGAGGGAGGGGGGGGCTGGAGGAGG